ATTCCTTGATTCAATTATTGTGTTTTTATGTACATCCGGATTATTCGAATCGTACACTAAAAACCGATAGGCACTACTATTTTGTGCATATCCAATAAAAATACAATCCACCGTTTTTGGACCTATTTTTATTTTCTTAGGTGTTGGTACAAGCACCTTAGCAAGACACCCCCACACTTTTAAATATTGATAGGAAGGCCGTCTACCTTTCCACAACTCGTACGGAGTTTTATCATATTTTTTCCGGGGAACCTTATTTAAAAGGTAATTGCTTGTCAAGATTGTTTCGCCCCACATATTTTGTTGCAAGCCCGAACTTACTAGCATCACGCTCATCATATCTTTCAATGTGCGATTCTTTCGTTCGGCAACACCGTTCGATTGAGGTGAATAGGGTGCGGTACGTTCGTGTACTATACCCACACTGGCACAAAAGTCACCAATTGGTGCTTCATACTCACCACCTCGATCACTCCTAACTGTCTTAATCCGTCAATTAAGTTGGTTTTCCACTTCATTCTTATAAAGAATGAATTTATCGATTGCTTCGTGTTTATTTTTTAATAAATAAACGTAGCTATAGCGTGTTCTATCATCGATAAAGGTAATAAAATATTTATTACCGCCACGTGTTTGTATTGATTTAAAATCACAAACGTCACTATGAATTAATTCAAGTGGTTCCGTTTTTCTTTCAACCGATTTGAAAGACGTTTTCGTTAGTTTTGCCTCTACACAAACTCCACATTTGTGCTTCACATCAATTGTGAATTTAGGAATGTGCTTCATGTTAATTAATCTACGTATAGAATTAAAATTAACATGTCCTAGTCTACCATGCCACACATTGGAAGACTCAAGCAAGTAAGCGGAAGGGATTTTATTATTCTTAATAATAATAGTCGTTACATTGAGCTTAAACAGCCCGTCACATGCATACCCCTTGCCCATATACATTCTCGATTTAGACAAAACTAATTTGTCCGACTCAAAGACCATGCGGAAGCCATGCTTGTTCAACAACGAACCGGAAATCAGGTTTTTGCGTATTTCCGGAACAAACAGCACTTGGTTGAGAGTCAGTTCTTTGCCCGAAGTCATCTTCAGGACCACCTTGCCCACGCCTTCAACCGCGGAATGAGCCGAGTTACCCATCCACACTTTCTCACCATTTGATGGCTCAAAAGTTGTGAATAACTCCCGGTTTGAGCAAATATGCCGGATTGCACCGGTGTCCACGAACCACTCCTTGGAATTGGATCCAACGAGGTTGACCTCGGTCACCACAGCCGCAAGGATGATGTCTTCATCCTTTCGCCCACCTTGCACCAAGTTGACTTGGGAGTCCCTCTTCTTCTTGGGTGCCTTGCAATCCGCGGACTTGTGTTCGTTTTTATTGCAATTGAAGCATTATCCGTTGAACTTTGTCTTGGAAACGCCTTCCTTGGGACCGAGCTTGCTCTTCCCATTATTCTTGGTTTTGGAGCCTTTTGCATGCTCCACCACGTTTGCCTTGGCGCCATGAACAATTGGGAGTTTCCCATCGTTCTTCCGATTATCCTCTTCAATCCGCAGACGGAGGATCAATTGCTCCAAGTTCATTTCCTTTCGCTTATGCTTAAGGTAGTTCTTGAAATCCTTCCAAGCCGGCAGCAATAAATGAATAATTGACGCAACTTGGAATGACTCACTAACCGTCATTCTTTCATCTCGAATTTCGTTGAAGATCATTTGCATCTCCTCAACTTGACTCAAGACCGTCTTCGAATCCACCATTTTAAAATCAAGGAATCGACCAACAACAAATTTCTTTGCGCCGGCATCCTCGCTTTTATATTTGTGGTCCAAAGCATTCCATAGCTCCTTAGTCGTAGCTAATTTGCTATAGACGTCGTACAAAACATCAAGCAGCCCGTTCAACACATAGTTTCGGCAAAGGAAGTCAGAATGCTTCCAAGCTTCAACCGCGTTGAAAGATTGCACATCCACCTCACCCCCGGTTGCTACCGGCGCATCTTCGGTCAAGAACCTTGCAAGACCGAGAGTAGTGAGATAGAATAGCATCTTTTGCTGCCACCTCTTGAAGTTTAACCCGTTAAATTTTTTGGGTTTCTCCACAGAGTTGCTCGGCACGGTAACCATAGGGATTGCCCCTTGGTTGCCCAAAGTAGATGCACCGCGTTGTGAACCATTGTTCACCGGTGCTCCACTTTCAGATTGATTATCGTTTGGCACGTTCTGCCTAACACCAATCTCGTTTTCTTGAGAAGTCATTTTCGTTCTTTAACGTTTTTCCGAAAACACAAAAAAAATAAGTTCGTTCACCAAAGTGACAAACTACGATTTAAGATTGTTTACCACAGTAGAACAATCAACAAATACGTTTTAAGATTGTATCCGTATGATACAAGCTCAACAAATACGTTTTAAGATTGTTGGGTGTGTTTCGGAAAATAAAGAAAATTAATTAAAATAAATTAATTAAATAAAATGACTAGAGAAAAACAAGAAAGGAGATGAAGCAGAATTAGTCAAAGCTCGTGCTACACACGATGTCCTTAAAACGTATTTGTTGCCTCCCACAGTGCTAGAAGTGTTGCAACAATCGTGTCCCAGGATATGATGACTACGAACTAGTGTTTGAGCACACAAACAAGAGTTCCAGCGAACGAGAACCAAGTAAGAACACAGAAGGAATTTTCAGAGTAGCTGTAGGTGTTTTTAGCTCAAGAATACGTGAGGAATGTATTGTGCGTTGTGTTGTTGCAAACCACCTGCCAGCTATTTATAGGAGGATTTGTTGTGTGTTAAATGGGTGTTAATGGACCTGAACGCTGGACATCAATGATCAGTCCGTTGGGCATTGAATCGTCCATAAACTGTCCATTTAACGCAGCATTAAAAGAGAAGAACGTTGGGCATTAATTGTTGTAACGGACCAGAAGACCTTCTGTTGCGAACAGAAGGCCTCGAGGGTCTCTGTTGCGAACAGAAGACCTCGAGGGTCTCTGTTGCGAACAGAAGACCTCGAGCGTCTCTGTTGCGAACAGAAGACCTCGAGGGTCTCTGTTGTGAACAGAAGACCTCGAGGGTCTCTGTTGCGAACAGAAGACCTCGAGGGTTTCTGTTTCAGACAGAACTCGAGCATCTCTGTTCCGGACAGAACTCCACCCCTTCTGTCACTGGGAAAAATAAAACGTTACGGGAAGAAACAAAAATTAGACTGTATCTTTGAATGATAGGTTTTCGGATGACATTCGTGTCCGCAGGTCGCCCGCGCACACGAGTCGTGGTTTTTCTTCTCCGTTTGGGATTTGATCGGCACCCCCCTGCGCGTAAGAGAGAGCCTTTCCCTTTAGGAATCTTAACCCCTTAAAAGAGACTTCCCTTTATAAGGGGGTGAAAATCCCTTGAGTTTTTCGGTGTGGGATAAAACACACTAGAAACTCACCATTTTCCCAGTTTTTCCATTTCAACAAGTGAACTTCGAGAATCAATTTCTCATTCACCCGTTATCTGTTTTGAGTGTACCACATATCGAATTGTAGCCCTTAACAAGGACAATCCGAAACCACTTTGACCCGAACCAAATCGGAAGTGGACCCCACTCAAATAATTGCCCCTAAATGACCATTTAATGCAATTTTAACACATTTTTCCAACACAACCAACATTTGCAACAAACTAAGGAACTCGGATAATTTTTTCCTTTCTTTCTCAGATAAGAAATTTTAGTGTTCGTTGAGAAAGTCTTACGGATCCATCATGCACGCACAAAAAATTGGTAACATGTTATAATAAACAAACAAACTAAAACTAGGCTGCTCATTCAATCGCAATTTCGCTGCTCAATCACAAAAAATTTAGCAAAATATATAATATATCAATTTACTAGCATTTTGAAAAATAAACTGAACAAGAAGAGAACAATTAGATGAGAATAAGGAAAACTATGCAATTTCATACTCCGTAAAACAAATCAAGAAGGGAACAATTAGATTTAGAATAAGAGCAAATACATGGATGAAGACGATAGGGAGCTTCTTTCACGATAGATGGCACACAGCTACGGACAATCTCCAAGGGCTTGGTATTGTCGATGTTAGAGAATCGATGGAATATACAGAGAGGGATATAACCGAGATAGCCTATACGCGAAATGTCTGAATCGTAAGGAGTATACATATTCCACTGAACGATTAAGACAAAATATGTCTGAGCGAATAAGTCAAGTTCCAAATTAAGTCGCAAATAAACATTGATATATAACTGACCGATTAAGCCCATTAAGTCGTAAGTAAACGGGACCTTAGTGTCATAAAAATGAGATTATTTTTCGAAATGATATTTTGAGATTAAAAATATGGATGAACAAAATCATTCTCGAAATCTTTGATCAAATGCCTACTACAAAATAATAACACATATAGAGTAACATTTTTAAAAATACTACATCCATCTCAAGTAAAGATTTTTGTCCACTATTTTCTAGTCAACTAAATTACTTTTAATCTTTTACTTTAGGTATTAAATTACTCTTAATTTTTTACTTTAAATATTTATTTTTAATTAAGTTTAAGTTTTTCTCTGCCATACTAGTACTCGTGAGCCCAATCAATTGCTCTCATACAGAGCCTGATCAATGAGGGTCATTTAGGTCCATCTGGCCCATTTCGAATCAGTCTGCCTGTTCCAGCCCATTTGACTCATTAGAGGTAGTAGCATTGTACCCCTTTTCCGCTTTTCTAAAAACATGAGCTTTCCATCCTTATCGAGGATAGCTTTTCTTCCCCACCACGCTGTTACAGTGTTTTTAAAACTGTAATTGCGTTTTGTTTTATTAAACTTTTGTGCATAACGATTTTTTATATTTCAATGTGATAATAAAAGTCGATAAAAAAACCACGCCGCTACAATATTGCTCCTGTCGCACAAAACTCAACAAAATTAACTTACACGTAGATTAGTAAAGTAAAAAGGTGTGATTCAAATTTGTGTAGAAGAGAACGAAATAACTTTAATCACACATTTCTTACTTTAAATGAAAATTGCAATTTTTTGGGACAATTAAAAAATAAAAATTAGTCAAGTTTTATGGGATGAGTACTATTTTTACTTGGACTGTAATTTGTTGGTCTGGTCTGATCTGAACTGGTCTGGTCTGATTTCTTTGTATTTTTATAACTATCCGGTCTAGTCTCGGAGGAATTAGTGCACCATGCTTGATATACACATCTTTGTACACACCTTATATACACAATGTTTGTGAAGTTTTTTTTTATCTGTGAACCCGGTTCACAGACAATATTTTGTTTGTGCAGAACATTGTCTGTGAATCGATGTTCACAGCAAAAAAACTTTCACATGCATACATATATACAAAAGTGTGTATAAGAATTGAGGACGAACGTGCCAACTCCCGTTCGTACACCGTCGATTTCTTCGACACTCATATCTCCGTCACCGTCACCAAAGTCTCCTCCGTTGTCCGCAAATGGATCTCCACGACCGTCTACCTCCGCAACCGCCGCCGCTTGTTCGGTCGCCTCGTCGTAGGCGTCGGCGTTCAGTGGAGCCCCGACAGAGGAAACGATCCTCCTGCTGACACTCTCCAGCTCTGCGTCGGCTGCCGCTGCTTGATCTTCCAGCTCTCTCACGCCACCACAGTGCCGCTCGTCCTTCGCCGCTTCTTGCGCGACGAAACGAACACCTTCGTCGGGATTTGGACTGACTCGGACCAGAAGAAACTGGATATGGAGCATGGACTGGACATTCACAGACTTCTGGATCTGAGGAGGTACTTGGTGAAAGATGACGGAGAGATGCTCCTTAAGAAGTCCGTGGAAGCGATTGTGAGGGAGTGCTTAGGGTGTGTGTTTGGGTAATGCCATCAGCGTGAGCGATTGGGATGAGTATTACCTGAGTTGGGATCAGGTTTTGCAAGCAACCGTGAAAGCATATATATGTGGCCTTTGAGATTGGGAAGAACGAGCGTGCTTGGCGCTATTGCATCTGATCGATCGATCTACTTCAGAATCGGCGATCAATTCCACTCGATCTCTTCATATCAACCTTTTTTTTGGGTAATATTTGTCTCTCCAATCTTCTATGTTACCAGCCTTTAACTCATGGTTTTCCTTTTAGTTTTAAACAAAAGCACTTCAGAATTCAGAAGGGAGTCAATTTTAACGGAAGTAGCTGTGGAAATTGACTGAAATGCCTTCCGGATTTTGTTAGTTCTTTGGATAAGCCTGCTTTTGTTTGGATAAACCAGAGCTTTGGATAGTTGGTTCGCGACGAGGGATCGCGTAATTTGAATAGAAAATATGTTTTGCAGTGTCTACTCTTTGAACGATCAAGTATAAGTACGAAGTAAAATACAGTATATGGCAAGTATGCATGAATGATTTGCGATGCCTAGATAAACACACTTTGCTTGACACATTAGTTTTTACTAGCTAATTTATTTTTCACCAATGTGATAGTCCAATGACCACTCACAATGTTTGCCTCTTGAGTAGACCCTACAAATCAATCAATTTCAAAAATATACATTTTGAATGAATTGATTTATTAATATAATAAAATAATATTTATTTTGATTTATTTTCAAATTAGGAAAACGTAAATGATATTTTAAACCCATACAGTATCACTGAGAATTATTATAACGAGCATAATTTGAAAATGCATATTTTTAAAATTAGTACAAAAATATGTATTTTGTTAAGTAAAAAAAGAGGAATAAGAAATTTTAACAACACATACATACTGAAAAATATCAACTTTAATGCAAAAATGTTAAATAAAATAATAAATATACTAAATTAAACAATATCAAACCAAACATTCCGGTTCAGCTGGTTGTGAGGTTATCGTGCCTAGTGGGATTTCTCGAGTTCGAAACCCGCTAGACACATAAGGGTTTGAAACTCAATGGACTGAGTTTCAGCCCGAATTACTCCAAGCCCCCCTCCCCCAGACCCTCCCGGATTAAAAAAAAATCTCAATTTAAATTTGGTAATTACCATTTTAATTCAAATTTCTCTCCTCTCTAGCAAGTAGATAGCTTGTTTTGGCTAATTTGGGTGCCCAAGCTAGAAGGAAAGATGCACTCCAATTGTAGGTTACTAGCTTCTAAATTACAAGCAAATCTCTAGAAACAATCATTGTAATACTCCATCTATCCCACAATATAGTCTTCAATTTGACCCTAGGTATCTAACAATTTATATTTATAAATCTATACTCTATAATAAATTAAAATTTGAATAGAATATATTACATTGTAGTATATAAATTAGTTTTGTGTGATAATGTAATGTAAATTTTAAACCGTGCAATGTAATATATTTCATGTAAAATGTTTTTTATTAGAATCGCGTCATTTATATATTGATGTGCGTACTTTGGTAAAATAAAATGTATTTATCAAGTGGAAGATAAGAATTAATCTTAATCATTGATCTTAATAAACTTAGAAAATAGATAATATTAAGGCAAAACACTATATAATACTACCTCCATTCCGTTGGAAGGTTCCCATAGCAAAACAACACGGTTATTTAGGCAATAATTAAATAAAATAATTAGAGTATATTTTGAGAAATAATTTAATATGTATATATAATGTAGTTAGTATTGATAACTGTGATGATATAAATGTATTATTTTTAGTATTTAATGTTTAATTTGCCACTTAAGAATGTTAATTGATTCCTAAAATGGAAATAAAAACATTTATATGGGATTGAGGGACACTCACTACGTAAGTACTCCGTATATAATACTCGTACCAAATAAGTTAAACTTTTGTGCACATGATATCCTTTTGTTCATGATAGGGCGCACTAGATATTTTTTTATAAGGAGGAAGCTTAAATTGATATCACATCATTCAGATAGGGGATAAAAAGATAAAAGGATCATAAGAAACCACCAGCCCTCGAACCAAACTTAAAATCAATCACCTTCAAAAAGCAATATGACTCACTGATCCTATAATGAGCATAAATGAGCCAACGACGGTTAAAACAGACCCTCCATCACCCAATCACTAGATTTTTTTTAGGAAGAAGGGCGCACTAGATTTAAAAAGTGCATCATATTTTAAAAAGTGATTTGTGTACCGAATGGATTGTAAATGCACTTTTTGTTACACGATTTTTTTGCATGTTAGGATAATAATTTAATTTATAAAAATAAAATTAATAAAAATCATTTAATTTATAAAAAATCGTAAAAAACTAAAAGTTGTAATTTTTTTATAAAAAAATAAAAACTTAAAAAAATTAAAATTTTTTGATAAAACTCATTAAAATACATAAAGAATATATAGGTATTTCCCGCAGCCTCGACTGATAAAAATAGAAATAATTGATAAATATGAAGATGTATATTAATTGGAAATAGAAGAAAGTGAGAGTATTATGGAGAAATATTATTTTGGTCTCTCTTGATGTATTACAAAAGATATGTGCATGTATATATGTTTTACAGGGAGTAGCAATCATAGCTAGGTGAGAGGAAAGAACCTTGCATGTGCTTGCATATATGTTCTATGTAGTACTTTGCATGTCACATGCATGAATCTTACCATATGTACTTTCTACGTAAGGTGAAATGTCAAACATGTGCATGTGCATGTGCATGCATATGGACTTTGTTATGTCTAATACGAAGGTAAATGAAAAATAACTATAATCTCCAATACTCCCCCTCAAGGTGGAGTGTGTAGATCTCGAACACCCAACTTGTTACGAAGAAATTGGAATCGGTCTGTTCCAAGAGCTCTTGTGAATATGTCTGCCACCTGGTTAGTCGTGGAGATATACTGTGGACAAACTTCATTGCTCGCAACCCGTTCCCGTACAAAGTAACAATCCATTTCAACATGTTTTGTACGTACATGAAAAACCAGATTAAGTGCTATGTGGCGTGCTGCCTGATTATCACAGTAAAGTAATGTGGGCCCATGTTGGAAAATTGTGAGGTCTCGTAGTAACCATCGTAACCATAAGATCTCACTGACTGTGACTGTTATGGCACGATATTCTGCTTCAGCAGAAGATCGGGACACAACAGATTGTTTCTTGGTCCTCCAAGATATGGGTGATTGTCCAAGAGTGATAAAGTAACCAGTGCTAGAACGTCAGGTAAAAGAGCATCCTGCCCAGTCAGCATCGCAGTATGCACTTAAGGTGACATTAGTATCGGATCCCAAAAAATGCCTTGTCCCGGAGTAAGTTTTAAGTAGCAAAGAACACGAGTGGCGACATGGAGATGGGTCTGTCTTGGCGCTACGAGAAATTGACTAAGTTGGCTAACGGGATAGACAATATCAGGACGAGTAACAGTAAGATAGAGCAGGCAGCCAATCAATCTCCGATAAGAGGGTGCGTCGACGAGTGGACTACCATCGTCAGGGCGGAGCTTTAGATTATGTTCCATGGGAAATGAACTGGGGCGGCCAGCTAGGACCCCACTTTCCTCTAGGATGTCAAGTGTATATTTTCTTTGACGCTCGGTGATTCCAAATAATATAGACCGTCATGACATTGACCCACTCCAATCAGCTTCCTAGAGAGTAAGTCCTTTAAGATACACAAGTCATTAAAAAAAGTGAGTGTGCAGTTGAAATCACTTATTAGGCGATTTACTGAGAGCAAATTGCATTGAAATTTTGGAATGTATAAAACTCGTCGGAGACGAAATCCTTTGAATAGATCCAAACTCCCAATAGCTTGGACATGAGTCGTATCACCATTTGGAATTTTGACGGATGATATTGAAACATGTGTGTGAATATCAACGAGACCATCATTATTACAAATGATATGTTCACTTGCTCCAGAGTCTATTATCCAAGAAAGCCTTGATGATGTACCTGCCATATTAATCTGGACACCGGAAGAAGATTGGGCGTGACGGTTTATATTATTTGGAAAATAATATAGAAATTCCAATTTGAGTAGGACTCACCCATTTACTATCGGAAATGGGGAATATGATTCCCATTTGAAGCAATTTGATCACCTCCTTTTCACCACCTCCATCATGGGTGGGTTCAATCTTCGTTGCGGTTGTCTCACCGCTTTGGCCTCGTCTTCGAGCAAGATCCTGTGCATGCATGTGGATGGACTAATGCCTTTGATGTCGGCAATAGACAATCCAATGGCCAATTTATATTCCTTCAAGACCGCGATCAATCTTTCTTCTTGTTCGTGGGACAGGGCATTTGAAATATACATCCTTCTTGCAGTAGTCAAGAAGGAATGATTCTCTTATAATATAAGTGTTTGATAGGCACTAGTTGTTAGTGCCTAAGTGTACATTTTTATTATCATTTGTAATATCTATTTACTAGTATTGTGCAAGTTTATAGTTGTTAGTTTGCATTTGATTGTAATCGTATTTCTAGCATTTTATTGTTTGTTGTAAGTTGTAGTTAGTTTGGCTATAAGTTTAGGATAGGTTTGGAAGCAAAAAGGATGAAGAAACATGAGTTTTGTGCAAAACCAAGTCGGGTATGGACTATACTCGGCCGGGTATGAAGTGACAAAGGAAACTGCTGCAAAACTAGCAAATACCCGGTCGGGTATTCCATATACCCGGTCGGGTATTCTGTGATTTCGGACCAGAGGAACGAGATGCCACAAAACCCCATGCTCTTCTGTGAGATTTTCGATGCATGGGGTATCGACTTCATGGGACCCTTCCCACATTCCCAAGGTAACATATACATCCTTCTTGCAGTAGATTACGTCTCCAAATGGGTGGAGGCCAAAGCAACAAAAACTGATGATGCCAAGGTGGTGGCTAGTTTTCTAAAATCACACATATTTTCAAGGTTCGGGGTCCCTCGAATTTTAATAAGCGATCGAGGCACACATTTTTGTAATAAAATTGTGGGATCCCCACTGAAAAGATATGGTGTGACTCACAAAATTTCTACAGCCTACCACCCTCAAACCAATGGCCAAGCGGAAACCTCAAACAGGGAGTTGAAATCTATACTCCAGAAAACAGTGAACCCGAACCGAAAGGATTGGAGTATACGCATTGATGATGCGCTATGGGCATACCGAACCGCCTACAAAACCCCAATCGGTATGTCTCCTTATAGAGTTGTGTTTGGGAAAGCATGCCATCTCCCTGTAGAGCTCAAACACAAGTCCTATTGGGCGGTCAAAGATTTCAACCTCAATCTTGACGAGGCCGGTGTACATAGGAAGCTCCAATTACAAGAATTGGAAGAACTTTGCCTGGATTCTTATGACAATGCAGAAATATACAAGAGAAAGACGAAGGAGTGGCATGATAAAATGATCATACGAAAAGACTTTAAACTTGATGAAAAAGTCCTCCTATTCCAATCACGCCTTCGTCTATTTCCGGGAAAGCTGAGATCCCGTTGGACCGGACCAT